GTTTGGGGATTGACTGGGCTATGTTACATGCGATGCAATAGTAAGAGAAGACGGTGTGTCTTGCCCACACATTGGCACTGGATGAGACGCGGGGAGCATTGCTCAGTTGCGAAACGGCAAGTACGCCGCGCTGACGGGATATCTCCAGAAGTGTAGAAACACAGCGGAAGCGCTTTGGTAACTGCGCTGCACCACTTAGTACGACACGTATGGGTTGAAGAGGATACTAGTTGGCCTGAAGGATGATTTTTTGCTACCACTATACAAGGGCAAAGTAAGCAAGCATTGTGCCTCGAATTATCATGGTATCAGGTTACTGAGTTGTGTGAGCAAGGTGATTTCCCGAATCCTTCTCAACCGCTTCGTCAGTTAAGTTGGGAAACTGAACGTTGCGGAATTTGCAATATAGATTCCGTTTGAGTCGCAGCACTGTCAATATGCTGCTTGCAGCTCGTTGATTGCAGGCGAAGTACAAAGAGCGACACCATCCATCGTACTCGCCGATGACTTCACCATGCCATTTGGCACGGTAAACCGCGAGGCCCTGTGGCTGGTGTTGGGTATCTTTGGTTGTCCGCGTAAGTATGTGGACCCACTTGAATGTCCGCATAGTGGTATGCGAGCGAGGATGCAGCTGCGTGGTGACTTTAGTGTTGTCTCTGGTATATAGCAAAGCTGTGTCTTAGCCTCTACCCTGTTTAGTGTTTAATTTATTGCTATGTTGTCTTGTGCATCTGTTGCTTGTGATTACGTTGTCCGTGTGGTGCACTGTACTGATCGTGGGTTGCTGAACATCCGTCGTTTCGGGGCAAGTACCCTAGTGTTTAAGACAACTACACGTAAGTTGTTTTTTTTTGCGAAAGACTGCGCGTTGTTTGCATACAAAGCGGATGATATGCAGCTCTCGCGTTCACAGCAAATTCGGGCTCATCGTCAACACATGCGAGACTGTCGTTTTCAACCTTAACACTAGAAAGACCGCTTCGCCGTTATACCTAGAACTCCCGGGACCGGTCAAAATGACCGCACTGCTATATATTTTTATCCCAACTTTCAGTTAAGCATTTTTTCACGGCATTTATTAAAAACTAATGTATAGAACATACCTGTAACAGAAAAATGATTGTATTAAGGTTTAGTTTTTTTTCAAAAATTGTAAACAATTCCTTATACCTACTCCAATTTGCACTTGAGGCAAGTGATATCTCGCTCAATCTGTCCACATGAGCCGCAAACTATTTTTTCACAAACAGAGCACTTGTTTTGTGATTTGTTACCTTTACAGTAACCAATCTGACACTGCTGACGTTTAATGTTCACACGACTTCCCGACTCCGCTGAGTTGTTCGTCGTAATTCCCGTTGTCACGTACCTTGTGTGATGTATACATGTAAGCAGTTCTTCCGAAAGACCCACTAGATACGACCGGCGAGATATTTTAGTTCCGCAAACACTGTTATAAATCATCCAGGAATTTATGCCAGCCAAATCCAGTACGTTGAAAAAGACTTGGACTGGCCATCGTCGAGATGATGACTTCACAGTGAGTGCAAAAATCATTTGGTCGAGTACATCCACACCATACTTTGTGGAGTTGTAAAACAACACAGTCTCGGGTTTATTCTTTCCAGAGTCTTGAACGGAAGAGTTACTATGCAGGGAACTGAAAACCAAAACACTCTTATTCCTTTTACACTGGTAGGATGTTAATGTGTGCTTATTTTCATTCCTTATCATAAGTGAACTGAACAGCTCTCTATTTCTTTGCTTCAAAATCGATGGTACTTCCTTTCTATTAGCTCGAAGTGTTCCCACCATACTTGTGTTTTTCTTGGCCAGCATTTCTCCTAATGCTGCCGATGTAAAGAAGTTGTCACATGTGACATTGGACCCCTTTCCAAATAATGGTGACACCAAGCGCAATACCACGCTCTCTGCAAGACTTTCTCCTCTTGACCGAGTTTCATCCTTCCCGAGATATGGAAATCCATTAACCAGATACTTGCTGTCTACCTCTGCCAGCATCCAAAACTTGATACCGAACTTATCTGGTTTGTTGGGCATGTACTGGAGAAAACGACAACGGGTTTTGGAGGGAAACAATTGCTCACCAACTGTGAGATTCTGCGCAGGCACATAGCATTGTTGAGAGTTGCGAATGAATGCATTCCACAATTCAGATACCAAAGCAAACTTATCAGTTAGCAGTCTTTCACATCGGGTAGTTCGCATGTCAAAACGGAGGAACCTCATTACTTCTTTGAAGCTGTTATTGCCAGTTGTCTCCCAGAAAATAGGCAGTCCATATCTATCGCACCACATCATATTCAACGGCATGTTCTTCAGACCCATGAAGCCTCTGATGTAAAGTAGACCAATAAAGGCACGCAGCTCTGGAAGACTTACGCTCCACTGACAACTGACACCTAAAACTCTCTTGGCCTCAGCTTCAGTACATACTTGAATATGTTTCAGCATCTGGGGCGTGATTATGATGTCAAAAGTGCTCGACAGCTCACCATATTTCACACATTTCTTAGCATAGGGAGTTGGTCCTGGTCTAGCCTTAAACACATTCTGTGATGGAATCCTACCAACAGTAGATGTTTCGAACTCCACTGAGATCCACGTGCTACCATCTTTCGATACGTGAAGCTCACCGGGAGATACCAAATCGGTTGATACACTCTCTCTAGGGTCCTCATATGGAGTGTAATCATCAGACGTTTGACTATCAGACATGCTATGATCTTCTGCTGACTCATGGAAGATGGAGTCCTCATCAACATCATAATCGTCCTCATCTCCAGACTTGTTGTCATCGATGGTTGTAAGTTCTCGTAAAACCTCAAAGGCTGTTTTCCTCAGAGGTGCCATTGTGTACAACAATGTCACTGGAATTTATCTGATTGAACGCATAATATCACAGTAAAATCGTGATTCGGCTAGTTTTCACTCCCGTTTTGACTGCTGTAGTATATAACTGTCAGAAATGATAGTGGTGGCTAAAAATAAAAAGAGGAACCGGATTAGAGAGAAGCGGTCATTTTGACCGCTAACGGGCTTTCTAGGTAGTATGAACACAGCTACCTCTTTTCTCGAAAACTATAACAGATATGAAAACGAAAATTCACAGTGATGAAGAACGTCCAAAAATATTAAAAGTCACGAAATATCTTTGAAAAATGTCCATAAATGTAGAAAATATGCACATTTAAAAACGCTGAGCAGTCAAAATGACCGCTCCGGGCGTTCTAGTGTTAAACCGAAGCGAAATCATTGTGCATGCTCCAAATCCAGATTGTTAACCATGTTTTGGATACTATTTCCAGATTTTGTTACCTGTGAACGTACTTTTGATCGATGATAGGCTCCTAACCCGCTTAGGCATCTTACATATCTTAACTCGTCTCTTCATATGTCGCAGGCGCTTTAGCATTTGTGATGAAAATGTCTCTCCTTAAGAAGATAGTTGCAACAGGGCAACACAGGTCAAGACAATTTTTAATGTGGTTTTTAAGGTAGTCGCCTAGAATTGGTGGTCCTCGTCGTTGTACACTTAATAGTAAAAGGGAAGGAAGACATCGATTTGAGCCTTGTTCTATGTTCGATGGAGGAGTTTCACTATTTGGTAGTCTTGAAAGGACGTCTAGTCAGTGTGCTTTGCGGTATGTCACGGGATACAATTTTAAAACGCCATTTGTCTGAATTGTCTCTCTTTTGTTAAAAAGCAGCTGCTTTTTCTTCGTGTATACTCTATCCAGCTGCGTGTCTTATCTGGTCTAAAAATCATTATATCTGCCAATGCAAGTGTCCTCGAGAATAGCATGTCCCTTTTGCCAAAGTCTCCAGCAACAATGCAATTAGAACAGTTTACTTTCACCAGTAGTATCCAAAATACCTCAACTCTGACGCAAATCTGCCAGAAGCTATGTAAATGTTTCCGGCGATGTGAGATTAAAATCCACTTAAGAACCTTAGTTTGCATTCCGTAAATGGCAACTTCAGGAGGTCGTTGAATATCTGAATAGTACAGTTACTGAATTTTACAACAGCGTTGGTTACTCTAAGTAATAGTGTATCTACCACGAAACTGGGTCTTTCCTGTGCGGGCTGTCCTGATGGAAAAATAACCATCGAGTTGAATTGCTACATCTTCCACATCAGTGCGCAACCATTTGTTCTTGTGACAGGATTAAGCCTGTATTTACATACTTGCTTCGCTGCGTAAAGCCACTACGGTCAATCATTTTGCAAAGAAACGCCTTATACTGGTAAATGTAAGTAGACCTTCCGCTTTTTCGATCGAGAAAGATTAAGGTCACATTGCTAATCGACACGATACTTTCGCTTGTCTTCAACATGTTACTTCGTAATTCGTTTAAAGTTTATCCAGACTTAGATGAATTACAGATTTCGGGCATTATCGGGTGACACTTTTCAGAGATTGACGGAGTAGGAGGGCCGCTTAATTGAATTTGATTAAGGCTCGAAAAACAAAAGGACACAATGATTCAAAAACGGAACATATAATCTGCAGTCGGTAACACAAAAGTGTTCCAACAGAAACGGTTGAACTAAAATGCTCCGCTTGTTATCTAAGCGCAATCTTTCTGCTTTTTATTATTATTTACAACTTTACCTAATTACCCTAAATACTGATTCTGTATATCATCTTGGGCTATTCTCGCATTGGCCAATTGTAATGTGCCATAGATGTGCAAATTCGCATTCGATACGACACGTTCATGTTAAATTCCCTTCCAGTTGGCCGTACCTCGTTTTGCTTTATCACAGAATATATCTATACCCACTTGATTTCACTGATATGCGGTAGTTTATTTAATCTGTTTGCAAGCACATATGTTCGATTTTAGTAATATGTTTCTGATTGCCTGTATGTTGAATACGTCGTTCCCAGCTGTAGGAACCAGTTTTAGTTCCCAGCAGAACCATTTCTTCTCATCGTTGCTGATTTTGTCCTTGTTTTCTTACATCAGATGCACCTGAACCTATTTTCGAGCTCGAATGGCCTGACCCTGCCATTCCACCGCAGGAACGTTATCCTGTGGCAGACACTTGGAACAAACCGAGGCGTCATCCTCATGGTTTACCGCTTGTTCGTGAACGTTTCGGTGCGCACAACGATGTGTCGTTTGATGTCTACTTGGATCGGTATCGGGATCGGAAAGAGTTGTCTGAAGAATTGGTTCGCGAGCGACTTAAGACCGAGGGAAATCCGTTGGATCCTGACGAACCTAGTCGCACTCGAGTGAAGTATCCTTCCGCCGTCCCGATTCCCCGAGGCAGTCCAAGCTGGTGGGTGAAGCAAGAGCAAAAGCGCCGCTTGCGCTTGGGCCGTTGGCGATATCTAGAAGGTCATGATGGTTAACCTCCGTAACAGTCTCCGTTTCCTTCTCCGAACGACAATCTGTTCGTCGTTGTGTACCAATATCCTCCCAGCTTTTTATTTTCAAATCTATGTACCCCAGTGTTCTTTTTTCATTTAAATCGAGTACCGTTATTTGGGCACATGTTACTCTAACGAAAAGCTACTCACTTCACTGTATTTTACGTGTGGTTTATGTATATTTCTAGTTTAAAAGGGAATAGTCTTAATCTAGTGTTCAGCGACACCAACCTTAATCCAGATAACTGTGCAACCAATAGTCTAAGCTATCTGTAGTGGATCTTCGCCGATAATTGGTATTTACTATAGGGCTGGGACAATATTTAGGAATAATTATGTGTGGGTAAGTTGTGCAAGCCTATCCCAGCCTGTGTGAAGATATTCACCGATTTTGATTGGCCTTGGGTTTAGGTAGTGTCGCAAATATATTCAGTCCAGTTCAGTTGACTGAGAAGTCAGGTCGACTGTGCTTTATGCACTCATGAATGTGAATATTCAGCTCTGACAAACACGCGACAGACAGGGATAAACACAGAAACAAATAGTACATGAGGATAGGTATAAAACGAATTTCTTGGGATCCGGTTAACTTGTCTTGCTTCAATTTTCATGTAATATACAAGGATGATAAAGTGCACAATTATGTTACTTCCAAAGTGGTAGGCAAGATGCCTTCAACTTGTCGGACTGTAGCGTTTGTGCTCCTCCTGATTTAAAATGTTTGACTTCATTACTAAACTGTATCGGATGAGGTGTTCAATCACTACCGTGCCGATTCCGAAGCCATTGTACAGAAAAACTACCGGTGTGCTCTAGTTTTCCTTCTACTTTCTCTACCTTTTCCCCCACGTCTCTGTTTTCACACTCAACTAGATGTAGTATGGGCATACACTACACTATGAAGTGGCTGATTGGCAATTGTGTGACCTTCATAGGTGTCTGAGCAAAAATGGACTGTCCGAATTACGGTGCCAGCGAATCTTTCTCTATGATTGGCCCTTGCAAGAGATATTGATTTGATGAATCCTGCCAGATACTTCAGTTTCTTTATCTTTACTCTTCGTCAGCTGTTGGAGCGGTTGTCCACTTTTGTTTGCTTGATGTAAATTTGTATTCATGTTTGGCATAATAGGGAAACTACTTTGGTCAGGTACAAATCTGCGGGAGGATATATATTGACTTCCTCATCGAGGTTTTCCTAGATCTCCCTTCTTTTTCCTTTGGATGGTCATAAATGATTGTCATCTCAACCTCCTCTGGAGTAGAACGTCTATCATGTGACAAACTAAGATATTGAGAATGCAGGTGGAAGCACCCCTATTGGCTCGGACCCAGATGTCATTCAAACACTACTGAATAGGATGATGCTTAGGACTGAACGCTTTTCATGTGGTTTGTGCCTTCAAAGTGCTAGGCACTGCTCCATAACAATCTTGACACACCACGATTTCTTACTATCGGCCGGTGGCCGAGTGGTCTGCACGCCTGGTTTGCACTCATAAGGTCACCGGTCCGAATCCGCATGGGGTCGAGCATCCTCGCGGTATATTCAGCCCACGCGCTACCGATCTTGGTCGCGTGGCAGCGAAGCGCCGTTACGGCGCACAGCTGACGCATTATTATTTTATTATTACTATCGGGGAACAGCCAGTGTGAATGGTCAGTCGGTCACTTGCTTTGATGGTTGTGTCGCCTTTGTTGATCACATCACCGAGCAAGTTACATCATATATCAGCAGAGCCTGTGTGTGGTGGCGCGTGATTTCGGTCAATGGGGCTGCTACAATGCCGGTGTTACCGGTTGCATCTAAACTATGGTCAATTCTCGCGGAAGCCATTTACAGGTTGGTCACGTTCGGAGTCACGGTTTGCGGAGTGTTACTCACATCCAATGAGACCGGCGGATGCTTCGTTGTGGAGTTCACCAGTTGGTGTTTGGAAAGAGGTCTTGTTGTGTTGCACTGGTTTGTTTACTATACTTGAGGTGCTTAACTTGGTCATTTTCTCCCTACAATCCTCGATCGCCTTCGTCCGCGTGAATCCTGTTCTGCAACCGCACCTAGTTGAGCGAAATCGCCGGGTGACCAGTCGATGTCGTAGCAAGTGGAGTGAAAAAATTGAACAACAAACTTGGTCAGGCTGGTGCTTGTCCTCTTCATGGATAGGGACCTCGGGATGTGTCACATCGGTCACTATGTGCCCTATTGGACATGGCGCGGTCGCGCAATCATTTTCGTTCCTGCATTCAGTTTCTTACCTCCATCTGTTTATATTCGGTCCCAATTACTTTCTCTTACTTTTTCTAACCAACCCTATTTTCTTTGTATTATATCTGCTTAATATCTCCTTTTCCTTACCATTATTAATTGTTGTTCTCCTTCTGTCGCGAGTCATGCCAATTAGATCCACCGCATTGCGTTGATACGTGCAATTAAAGTGCCTGCACTGCAACGCTGTACACTCCTTCGTTGAGCGATTACTTCCCTTTAACGTCATCTCCATAAATGCTTGAGGTTTTGAAGTACTCTATGGACCTCCGACTCTGCGCACTCACTGTTTCGTTATTTTGGACTCCATTGCAAATACGGTTGTCTTGGCTGTTAACCTGGTTGACCATTTCCATTTGACCTTCACTTATTGTGAAAAAAGGGACGTCGTTAGTGGCAGTGTTTTGTACCTCGAAGCCGCCTAAGATGTATGGCACTCTGCGTCAGTACTCATGAGAGCATATGCTATAGTTGCATCCGATTTCATAGACTGCATCGTCTGCTTCTCCATTTATCAGCCTCAACTTATTTTGATCACTTCATTTGAGGATGAAACTGAGGGCAGGTTGGCATTGCAGTTCCGAACTTTGAGGGCATCCAAAATCTGTCTCAGGAGCGCCATCGAAAATATCGACACACCAGAGGATTGCTCTATTTTCTCCTTCAGGCAAACACATTTTCATAGGTAGTCATTACCGAATGTCTGAACTATATTATTTGTTAAAAGGCTTTCTTAAACGGTGTTCCTATTCCCGACATTGTCTATGCACGTGGCGGAGTATGCGCGTGATATCCATGCAACCTCACTGGTTGGAATCAGTAGTGCACTTTCATTAGCTCTGTCCTCATACGATCTAAAGAGACCCCACAGCATGGTGCATTTATGCAGTTTGGAGTGATTTGGCAAGACGATTATTGCTTTTCAGACAACATTCTTTGGGTCATCTTACTGTTTGAGAATCATTGATCGGGGTGCTTTGATTAGGTCCCAGCTGGTCATCATGATCTTCCACTACTACCGGTCTGTACGTTTTGTTACTCTCCGATGACACTGAACCGTCAGCGCCAATGAAACGGAACTTGAGATAAACTGCATAGCAAAAGTCGAGGCGCTTTTGCCAACTCCGCCATCTGTGGCGCCGGCGCTATATCACTCTCACTCTGAAGGGCATAGTTTACAATGCAGCCGTTCGTTCAACCCTACCGTATGTTTGCGAAACCTGGCCCATCAAGTCGACAGACATGAAGATACTACTCACGTTCAATCATCACTGCCTCGTAGCTTGACTCATGTTTGGTGGGAACATCGGATAAGCCATGAGCATGTTCGTCGTCGTGTATTTGGTGGAGGAATAGGGAGTAAAGCGCTCCGGACCGTTATATTACGTACCAGGTTCCGATGTCTGGGCCACGTGTTGCGCATGCCAATCCGCCGACTCCCGGGACGTGCGTTGTTTGCGTACCTCGGGAGTGTGAATGGAAGAAGAACTGGGTTGTCAAGTGATGACTTGGTCAAACGGAATGAAGTCCCTCACTTCGAAGTTGGCATCGGTTGGTGTGTCCCGACTACCGGGCTAAGGTCCGAAGAACGATGAACACTTATGGCTGGATACATTTGTTGACAGCGCTAAGAGCCGATCTCAGTGACGTTTGTGTTGTGAGTTTCTTTTTTCCTCCCCATCCCGCTTATTTTCCCAATCCAACCACGATCTCCCGCTTGACGCATGATATGTTACTAAGTAGTCTTTCGCCTGTTTTTTGGCGTTCTATAAATTTCAGCATCTTACTTTTTTCGTATGTCTTATCTTTATGTATTGCGGTACAATAGTTAATGTGTGTTTGTCACCTTCGACTGAGGCGTGATGATGATGATAATGACACTAAACCGTATGAAGTCTGGGTAATTGATGTGGTTGTGACATTGACCTACAAGCATGGATAACAGGACTGCTCAATTCCACTAGTGTTCAGAAGTGTGATTCTGCTAGTTGAATTACTTGTTCGCCTGTATAGAGAATAGCTTCATTCACTCTGTTTTTCCTGTGTCCGTTTGGGTTGTCTGCATTCAGCTGCTCCTGTTGGCATTGTTCTCCTGCATTTAACATGGCTATGGCCACCGCTATTAGGTTGCGAACTGTCCAGGACGTGCTGGGTTTTGGCCTGGTGAGCGTTCTCCCTATAAAAAGCCACAAATGTCCGTTTAACAACACTGACGTGGTGGATGTGACTCGCCACTAAATAACGTCGCTGCCCAAAAATAAATGCTGGCCAGTCGACTAGAATCATATTTCACTCTTTTATTGACACGTACAAGAATAAGATACTCTTTGCCTACGTGTACCGTTTTTCCTACACTTATATTGCCTTGACTGTTTGCACTGTGCGCACTTGAACCCAAAGTATCGTCATCCATTGACGACTTTATTTCTCATGATTACTTCCTCAATCTCCGCAGTCTGTACAACTTTCGGCCACTGCCGATTACATACATAGCAGCGTGTCTGTTGCGAAACATAACTGCCTGTAAATAAATTCGATAAATTCGAGAATGAACCATTTATCTATTTATCTTCTCTGGTTCACTCGAGGCAGCCACAGTCTCGGCAATCTGCCCACTTTTCTGACGGCCGCAGTTGGCCGATCATGCGAACCTACATGTTTTCTTTTCCCATTGGAGGTGATTCCAATTGGCTTTCGGCCCCAATCACGGTTCTTATTAGTGACAGATGACCTTTCAGCACTGTGTGAAATTACTACCTCACTGATTGTTGGCATAGTCGATCGGCACTCACCCATTAGTCTACTCATTCACTGAAGTCGAATGAATGTACTGTATCCGAGCAAGCGCAGTACATGGTGGCGTGCAGGTGTGTGCCCTATAGCGACCATCAATTTGGATCGATTTGCGCCATCCATGGCTGATTTCTTT